TCTTTACTTTAATTAATAATCCCCGTACCGATCAAACTTGACAAAGTTTTAAAGGAACGGAGAGAGTATATAGAAAGGTGTACATGACTCGGAAACAAAGTTGAATTGTACATAAAGGTGTCTCTGTGAATCTATAACACTTTCAAATCTGATAAAAATCAACCAAATTAAAATGCAAATTGGTGAACTCATCAAAAAAGTTTTTCTCACTTTCTGACACTACTAGAAAATCACCTTATTGTGACACTTAATTTGTGACACTTTTGAAGTAAGTGTCACTAATATCTGCCATAAGTTTCATTTAACAACAAGTGTCACTATATCATGACAATTTTATATCATAGGATAATAGTGACACTAAATAAAATTCTGGAGATATTTTTTCTTTTCGCCACTCAATTTCTTCCCATCAATTACTTTTTTTTTAGTTTCCCTCTCTCTGTTATTTCCCATCCACACACTTATCCACTTTGTAAAATATAGTTTCCTTTCAGTTTCATTTTTAAACCTAGGCTGCGAAAGAGGATTATAGCAGAACTCTCCCACCGCCTCCTCTGCCGAATATACGGAGTATCGTAGGAGCTTCCGACGACTGGCGCCGTCTCTCCTCCTCTCATCCTCTGCTTCAACATCGATTGCAACTTGCAAGCCTCTGCCTCAAAACTTCTCTGCACGCAAGCCTCCTCTGCCCCAAAAAGTCTCCGCGCACGTAAGCCACATCTGAGTAAACTGGTAAGCCTTTTTCTCAGCATAATTTGTCACTCGATTTTGAAATTATGGACAATCCATTTGGTATCCTACAAATAGCTTCTTGTAAGTCGAAATATTCTGGACAATCGCTTTGGTAACCTACAAATAGCTTCTTGTAAGTCGAGATATTCTGGACAATCGCTTTGGTAACCTACAAATAGCTTCTTGTAGGTTTCGATATTCTGGACAATCGATCGGCCACCAGGCTTCACCTGCTTCAACCTTCTTAGGTTTTTTGGTAAACTATTTTTTTGGGTATTAGGGTTTATGTTTAAAATTGTATTTGAATCTGAAATTATTGTTCTTGGATATTGGTTTTCTAGCCTAGATCCTCCTGGAGACATAATTTATTGGAGTTATTGGAGTTTATAGGGCTTTCCCCGCCAGGTTTGTTACACCACCAGGTTTTCTAGGGTTTATTGGAGTATCTTTTTGTTCATCTATTATTGGATTAACAAAAAGAATGCAATTTAGATCCTCCTGGAAGACATAATTTTGTAATTTTTTTGTTCGTCTATTATTGAACTTTGTTTGTTATGATATTATGGTACAGATTAGTTCATAATTCTAAGTCATATTTCTTGTCTTGATCTTTGGTTGTAATGATATTGTTTAACAGAGCAGCCATTGGAATGATAGTTCACAGTCTTTATACAACCACACTGAAGTATTTCTCTTGAACTTTTTTATTATTGTATGATATTCAGTCCTATTCTACCCAAATCTTAACATTGCAGATGTCTATTTGGTGTTCATCTGAATCCAAGTCAATTGAGATGGAGTTAGCTAGTTGTTGTATAATTCTGTTTAAATTGAATCAATTAGCTAGTTGTTTTCTGCTGGACTAGAGAGAGCTAGTGCAAGCGCTTGCTGTGGGATTGATATATTTCAACCAATGTTCTAAAAATCGGGCTAGGCAGCCGCCTAGGCGCCGCCTAGTCGCTAGTCGGTGTGAGAACGTGGGGATTATTGTCAAATCGGGCTTCAGAACCGAGCATCCGACTTATTCGGCGCCTAGAGCGCCTAGCCGGCCGATTTGGGAGTTAATCGGCGATTTTGCTCCGGATTCATTTTAGTCGGTGCCTAGGTTTTTACTTTTTAATATGTTGCTCGTTGGCTCCAGACTCCTAAAGCAGCTTTCTCCGCTCCCCATCTTCTCTCAAGTTTCAAGTCTCAGTTTTGCCATGTTCTTTAGCTCCAGACTCCTAAAGCGGCTTTCTCCACTTCCCATCATCCGTGAAGCTTCAAGTCTCAGGTTTCAACTAACGATTGCCCATTGATCAGCTCTGTTCAAGCTCTCTGCCACGAGCCAACTCGTCTAATCCAGGTAATCCTTCATCACTTAGTTCACTCTATTTGGTTTTCATCAGTTTTCAGCGTTTTAGGTAATTGGAAACATGGATGATTCCAATTTATTTATGTTCATGATTTAACATTTGGATGTCTATATGATACATACTACCTCCGTCCCAGGGAGAAGTTCCCAATTTCCTTTTTTGGCAGTCCCAACAAGAAGTTCCCATTTCCCTAAATGGAAAGTTATTCTACATCAAAACAGTGCCAAACAGTGTCGAAACAGTGCCAAACAGTAAAATTTACCCCCCAGTAACTTTATTTCCTTAATATGTGTGAAAGTCAACCCGGGAACTTCTCCCTGGGACGGAGGGAGTATGAATCTGTGTGAATATACGATTAAAGCATTCTACAATCTAAAAAACGATTAAAGCAACTTATTTATGTTAATGATTTTTTCTTCTTCAGATTGTCATTTCCAGAATAAGAAAACCATCCAAAAAATATTTAAATTTTGAGTTACGGTCGTGAAAGATCAGTTGGACCAATCAATGCCGGTTTTGTGACAAACATTGAGGAACTCTTCACAACTCATTGGCACTTAGTATTCTACTTATTATATGTTAGAATAAATTCATAGTTTGATTCATTTTTCCTCATTATATGTTAGATCACTTAGATGTTACTTGGGAAGTCAGTTATAAAACTAGATGAAGTACAAGAAGCATACTTTAAGTTTAAGTTGAACTAGATAGACATAGTTCGCCATGCACAAGTTAAGTTGAAATTAGAGTTAAGAGCACAAATTAGTTAATTGCACTGTAGGACTGTTAGTAATAAATTGTTTAATTTCTTCTTCTTCTTACAGATTTTATTGAGCATTGCTTGATGGATTTTGGATGAAGATATTGGAGGAGATTTTGTGCAAGATAATCTGTCATGGTGGTTTATGTATTGAAGGAAGTGCTTCTTTTAAATGGATGTTTTGAAGTGTTAATAATAATAACTAGTTGGTTTCAATATCTGAGAATTCATATATTGTAGACTTGTATTTAGAAAAAACAGTCATTTGAAGATTGTTGGGTTGTTTCTTTTTTACTTTGAATTGTAATTTTGAATACTCGTTTCAATAAAAAAGTATATTTATGTGATGATTTCATTTCTTGCTATTACATTTAAATACGAATATTAGCAAAATTGGGTGTATATTATAATTGGATTTACAAAATTGTTTGATGATTCAATGATACTATTGTGTCATTAAGTTGTATGACATTGAAGTGTTTTAAAACAAACTGATGGTAATGTATCATAATTGTTTGTGACACTATAGCGTCATTCTTTTCTTATATCAAGTGTCACAATTTCCGACCTTCCTTGACTTATACCAAGTGTCACAAAAACTTTCCGTGACACTAAATTAGTGTCACTATAAGACATTTTTCTACTAGTGTGATCTTGGTGTAGACCAAAGCATGTCTACCATGAATATATCATGAAAAATGCAAAGATCTGTAATCTACGAATATCAAACATGCGAGAAAACCACTTGTGGCCTAATAAACATATTCTTCCATTACTGACATCCATTTGCTTTCGAATTCTTCAACTTGGAGATAACGACTCCATCTACAACACTAGTTATTTGTTTCATAAAATATTTTTCCTTGCTGAGAGCACGACCAAATTTTGAAGTTACCTTGAACATGGTATGTCACATGTAATATCAATGAAGAGCAGTTTTGAAATCCTATTTAGTAGCAATACACATGGCAGGATTTTGGTCATTTATTATGCATGTGGGCTCATTGGTATTGCACTAATAGAAGAACGAAACATTCGAAATTCCAAACATAAGATTCAACATTGTCCTTCAACAAAAGGCCAACATCAATGTTATACACTTCTTGTGGTTATCTACACCCGTAAAAAGGGGCAAACACCATAGTGTACCTTATACAACGATGCAAAAGTATAAATGAATCAGAAAGTAATGTTTTGCATCATTTACTCATTTTAGTGGTTATTTAGATAATAGTAAGAATCTTCATGATGTGAGTATTTTCTCGCACTTAAAATGGTTGTAGAAAAGTGGTTGAAAGTACGAGTATCGTCTCCACAGGGACGGACAAAAGGGAAATAAGGTTTAACTAAATTTAACGATTAAACAGAAATAAATAAAATAAAAGTGCAATTGTGCGAGATTGATTGATTGATTAAACTAAAACTAATGCTAATGAGCGAATAAAAAGATTTGGTTTTCCTTAATTAACGACGAAGGGAACAGGAATTGATTCCGGGGTTAACCAGATTTCTGGCAGAACAGGCCTAATTACATGAATTTAATTTAATTGAGCCTAGCTAATCATTACTAAGTTCTTACCGCTCTCGCGGCGTAGAGTACAATAATTTAGGGGTCCAGGCTGATCTCTCATGCGACAAGATCCTAAATTATTGCCAAAACGAGCGAGCTTACGGCCCCTTAATCGCTACTAATCTCTTAGCGAACGATTAAGTGTGTGTGAATGTGTCCTAGAACAAATTAGATCTCTCTTAATTTATTCTATAAGCAATTGTAATTCTAGTGGCCATCTAGGTTACAAGAGATATCAGTTAAATTATTCAAACACAAATTAAACGGCATTCATGCAATTAAACCGACAAGAATCTAGCCATCAATCATGATTAACCCCTTCATCAACCCCAAATCCCTAATTAAACTACTCACGCCTCATAATTGACGAATCAAAAGAATTGGGATGAATAGAAATAATTGTCATTAATTAAAGAATTGAACTTACAAAGAATCCCAGGTTCTTGGATTTAAACAACGTAAAAAACGCAGATAAACTCGTCCCTAGGCCTCTCTCCAAAGTTCGTAACCCCCAAAAGTGGGTATGGAGGCCTTATTTATAGAAAACAGGAGAATTTGAGCTGATTTAGGACAAAACGGGGCCAGACACGATGTCAGGCACGATCGTGCCTGGGATCGTGCCTGCGGAACGGTCGCGTAAAAATATTGCAGACATGATCGTGCCTGCACCGGACACGATCGTGTCTGGCTGCCAGTAGCTCCGCGTCAATTCAGATGGCAGGCACGATCGTGCCTGCCCTAGGCACGGCCGTGCCTGACCATTTCTTCATCATTTTTCTTCGTTTCTCGTTCCGAATGCTCCCGAATGCCTACGAGGTCGATCCAAATGCTCTTTCTTCACCGGAATTTCGTCGTGAATCTCCCAGTGACCTCCAAATCTTCCAAATCTCTCTCGAATGCCTTCAAATCCTTCCCGAATGCCTCTCAAGCGCCGATTGCCGGACTCTAACTTCTTCAAATCAACTCCAAATGCTATGACACTCGATCCAACGCCTGTTAAACACATCTTGAGCCAAAATTGAGACTTGCAACGCCTTGAAGCCAGGAAAATCATCAGAATCCGACCCGAACACGCATCAAATGCGTGTCTAAATACGGACTTATCAGACTCCCCCACACTTAAGCTTTTGCTTGTCCTCAAGCAAATCGAACAACGGGACTTACGATAATCACCACACGGAATTTAAAATAGTTAGCATACATACGTAGTTAAAGGGATATTCACAGGACAGACAATCTAAACCAAGAAAATTCTTCTCTAAACTACATCTTTGTACTCAAGCTAATCTATTTGACACAATTATTCACAACATCCTCAAAGTAATGACAGCATACACAAATAAGTTAGCTACTGATCAGAAGGACTTGTGAATTTGATGGTGAATGTTTAATGATAATAGTCCCTTTATGTTGAGAGATAGGAATATCCTAACAAAGACTTAATGTATTTAGGAACTTCAGGGTTATTCCTAGGAACAAAGAACTCAGTAAGCCACAAATTAGGAACATTTGTAAACATCTCGGCACATTTGTGCTTTGACGTATACTTGAAGTAGACATGGCGTACAACTAAGCTAAACTGTCTCGGCACATTTGTGCTTTGACGTATACTTGAAGTACGTGGAGGACTAAAGCTATTTTTTTTTTCAATAGCCTCCAAGTTCATTAATTAAGTTTAGTTTTCCTTGTCATGTTGGCACGAGAACGCCGTTTCTTTCGAAAGATACCCAAGTCTCATCTTACGCTTTTTGACCGGGGCTCCCATTCTTTTTTTCGCAAAGTAAGAGGTCTAGCTATATTAATTTTTCACCTTTCGGATTCTCACTAGACATTACCCCATTCTAATCTCGGCCTCACCAAGGAAAAATAGCAATTAAGGTTCATTTATTTAAAAGTGAATCCATGCCTACAATGCAATCCTCGAAAGTATCATATTCCTAAAAAGTGACTGCTCTTACCCCATTTGGGGCATAGGAACAGTGCCAAAAATGGCTCCTACACAAATTCCCTAAACTTAACAAATTAATCCCTTAATTCCCTAAACATCGAGACTAAGTCAGAAATATTCATGGGTAAGAAAGCAGGCCATTTGGCTATGGAGCTAAATTAATTGGGTAACAATGAACGGTCAGGCTCAAAATGGCTTCTCCTAAAGGATTTTATCAGGTGGGGGTGGATGAATAATGAAAATTCAATGGGTGACTAATGCCTTCATCCTTTCAACAACTAGATTATAGTGCAAGCAATTTAAGCCTAAACACTTCAAAGATGTTCTAAAAGCATAGTCAAAACGCTAGCCAGCTCACAAAGACACAGTTTAAAGAAAAAATTTCAAAAATTTTGCATGAATTTCCTATGAATATACAACTAACACTTGCGCATGCTAACTCTAACAAATCAAATGTGACAACTACTGCCCGAATGCCCAATTCACTCCCCCACACTTAAACTTTGGCATCGCCCTCGATGACCAAATATGCATTATGTATTAGGGGTAAAGAGGAAAGGGTCACGCGTGCTCAAAAACAACTCAAGTTAACATTACGTATCGAGTTCAAAGAATCATGGAAACTCCCCTATCGCGTTGGTCAGTCAGGAACAGAACTGGGTCTTGATTCGCACAAACCCATTCATCCACTAAGCTGCAACAAATCATGAACCCAAAGCAAAGCAAAGCATAATAAAAAGCGTTAAGTGTAAGAGTGAGAGTGTGAGTGTGATAGTGTTTACGGTACAGTCATCCAAAAGTATAATGATACAGATGCTAGCAGAGGACAGTCTAAATAACATCTAATACTCGGGAGGGGGTGGCGGTGGATATGCGTCAAAGAACGAACTCCAGCTAGTCTCCATGGAAGTGAGTCTCTCATCAATCCGGGTGTACTGAGACTGGAGCTGTGAATAATGGAGTGTCTGGTCCTCCCTCATCTCTCTGTAGAAGTCCTGCTGCTCGAAGCGCATCTGATCAAATCTCTCGTGCTGCTCCGCGGACAGCTGCCGATACACAGCATCCTGGTGCGCATGCATCCCCGCCCAAGAATCCGGAAAAGCTGTGCCGTAGGGGGGTGCATCGTATGGAACCTTGTGAGCAGCAGCCTCCATCTCTACCTCATCATCATCATCAACGTCATCATCATCATCATCATCATCAGTTCGTTGTCCTCCTCCTCCTGCTGGTGCTGCCGGCTGTGTCCTCCTCCTCGCCACGCCAGTGTTGACCTCGGGGAGCCGGGTCAAAGCAACAAAACTGGAGCTCTCCTCCATCCTCAGAAATCGGTCCCCGAACCCCATCCTCGTCAACATCCTCGTAATGAATGGACCAGCAAATATGGCCTTGATATGGTTTGTGGCCTGACGGTGAAAGAGCTTGGCAAGGAGATAGCCCATGTGGAGCCTGCGGTTGTGGATCATACAGTACAAACAGAAGAGGTCAGTCTGAGTGACCTTACCAGCAACCTCGGCCTTGCCGGTGATGGTAGAAGAAAGGAGGGCGTGAATAATGCGGTACTGGCGGGGGTAGAGTAGGGTGCTAGGGAACATCTTCGGTCTGTAAGTCCCGCCATCTCTCGTGATCGACTCCCAGAATGCCTGGCGGTCAACGCCGGGTGGGAAATCTGTGAAGGGGACCTCGTGCTGGCCGTTATCCTCGGCCCCTGTGAAGCCCAAGTAATACTCCAAAGCACCCATGGTGATGGCGTGGTCCTCCTCAAAAGCTCTGAATCGGATGAGAGGCCGGGTGTTGTCATCAATAGAAATGGTCTTCGGCATCTTAAACGTTGCCAGCACCTCACAAGTAATCTCTCTATATGTCATATCACGGATCCCAAAAAACAGGTGTCTCCACCACCCTCGTCTCAATAAGAACATCACTTCATCTCTCACTCCTGCTGCCGTGAGAGAGTCCTCATCCGGAAAGTAAAATGTGCCCATAGGCTTTTGCAGCAGCTCCGTATGCTTCAGTTCGTCCTGCAGTTGCGGGAACCTCGGCTGGTACCGGCCGGTGTTGCCTCGGCTAGAGCCGGCACCTCCACCTCTAGTGTGCTTCTGCCTTGGCGCCATCTGTCAAAACGAATCCAAACAAGAATTCCAACGAGGCTTCCAAGTGTTAGAATTAATTTACAAAGTACAACAATGGCCCCGTCAGCAATTAATCAAGCGAAAATATCATCATAGTAGAACAAACCCAAGTTTAACCAGAATAGTTGAAAAGTTTGAATTTTTATCAAAGAACAGTTCTTTGAATAAAAGTTTCAAATTTTCAACGACACACGGTATAAACAAGGTCACAAGAAAGCTTATTCATCACAACAGTGTTTGTAGTATGGAGTTCTTCCCAAAAGAATTAGCAAAAAGATCACCATTAGGGGAAGAACCCAAAATTCTCAAATTGGACAAAATTTTGCCTAAAATTGGGGATTTATGCTCAAATGGACTCAACAACAAGGTTTCAACCTTACAAGCAATAATTCATTCCTTAATTCAAGCAACAAGCACAAAATCCCCAAATTTTTCTCGCATTCAACAAGATTTACCCTAAATTGGCTAAATTAGTTCAAAAATTAGGGATTTCAATCAAAAGAGGCAAATTCATCAACATAGACCATCAAAATCATCAATTCAAGCCTCAATTAACACAAAGAAATCACAATCACTAAGATTCGAGCACATGCAAAGTCAGACCTAAAAGCTTCAAACACCACCATTAATGGTGGAAGAAAGAGAGAGGAAGAAGATGAAAGTTACCTTGAGTGAAGAGAAGAGAGAGAAGGGCAGAGGGCCGGTGGTCTGGGTTCGCGGCGGTCGTCGGTGTGGTGCGACGGTGGTGGTGGGTCGCGGGTGGCCTAGGTAACGTCGAGGGAGAAGAACGATTGGGGGGCTGCTTCGTTGGTCGCGTTGAGAGAGGGGGGGAAGGGGTTGGGGTTTGTTTAAGTCGCGGGGGTATTTCGGTCAAATCGCCCAAGCACGATCGTGCCTAGGCCAGACACGATCGTGTCTGGCAGGCAGTGGGCACGCTCCTCTCGCGTCCCAGGCACGATCGTGCCTCCAGCCAGACACGATCGTGCCTGGCTGGCAGTGGCCTCGCGTGTTTTCCCCTTTGCAGGCACGATCGTGCCTGGCAAAAATCGAAATATTATTTTTTTTTTTTGGGTTTTTGTGGGTTTTTTGAAAAGCAACAAAACTAAACTAATGAAGCAAAAATTAAGCTCGGGTTGCCTCCCGAGAAGCGCTATTTTTAACGTCGTTTGCCCGACGCATCTACACATTCATCTCTCCAAATTCGTGACAAAGGTCACCTCACGCTCGCGTTCTAGCGGTCCTCCGTAGTATTTCTTCAGGTGATGGCCGTTAACTTTAAAACGGCCCTTCTCAGGATGATCAATCTCAACAGTTCCATACGGAAAAACTTCGCTCACTACAAAAGGACCGGACCACCTAGACTTCAATTTTCCTTTAAAAATCTTCATTCGGGGATTGAATAGCAGAACTTGATCCCCCTTACGAAACTCTTTTCCTTGCTTAATGTGCCGATCATGATAGGCTTTGGTACGCTCCTTACTAATCTTAGAGTTCTCATAGGCGATAAGCCTCCACTCATCCAACTCGTTGAGCTTCCAAAGTCGCTCACGACCCGCCAAAGACAAATCCTTATTCAGTGTTTTCAAGGCCCAGTATGCCTTATGCTCTATCTCTACCGGAAGGTGGCACGCCTTCCCATAAACCAAGTGAAACGGAGTAGTGCCAATGGGTGTCTTATACGCTGTACGCAGTGCCCACAGCGCATCATCAAGCTTATCAGACCAATCCTTCCTATGGGTCTCAACAGTCTTCTCAAGGATGGTCTTAATGTCCCTATTCGAGTTCTCCACTTGGCCACTAGTTTGAGGGTGATAAGGGACGCCCCCTTTATGAGTGACCCTGTATTTTGCCAGAAGGCGAGTCATCGGATCATTCCTAAAGTGGGTTCCCCTGTCACTTATCAAAACTCGTGGCACTCCAAACCTAGAAAACAATTTCTTCAGAAAACGAATCACAACTCTAGCATCGTTAGTGGGCAGAGCTTCAGCCTCAACCCACTTAGAGACATAATCCACAGCAACCAGAATGAATTTATTACCTTTAGAACCCGGGAACGGCCCCATGAAGTCAATGCCCCAAACATCAAATACCTCACAAGCCAATATGAAATTTTGGGGCATCTCATCCCTCTTGGTAACCGGCCCGGTGCGTTGACACCTGTCACATTCCTGCACAAACGTTAGAGCATCTTTAAACAACGTGTGCCAGAAGAAACCACATTCCAACACCTTACGAGCTGTCCGGTTAAAAGAATAGTGTCCCCCAGTCGGTCCGGAGTGACAATGTTTGAGAATCTCAACTCCTTCACTCAAGGGAACACATCTTCTAACAACCTGATCAGCACAAATACGAAACAAATATGGTTCCTCCCAGAAATAATACTTCAGATCAGCAAAAAATTTCCTTCGTTGATGAGGTGTATAATCAGAAGGAACAACACCCCCAACAAGATAGTTGGCGATGTCAGAAAACCAAGGCACCTCATCAACGATCCTAAAAAGTCTCTCATCAGGAAAAGTACCCTCAATATCTCTCTGGGAATAGATGCAAATAGGCCCATGTACTAACAGATGATTGCAAATGGACATAAAATACCAATTAAAGGTGTAGGAGAAATGAGGAAGCGATGAGAGAGAAACTCTCATCCCTCACTACCAATCCGGCAGGTAACTTTTAAGATATGTACGCCGAGTTCCGCCACCCCTACCGGCGGAACAAAAACACCTATTTCGAACATCACTGCTCTTGCAGGCACCACCAATGCACATACCTCCCTTACCATGGCTATCAAAATGGGTATCTTAGCCCCCAGGTTTTTCAACCACTCCCGTACTGGGAATTTCAATACCCTCTAGAACGAAGCTACACACCCAGATTTTTTACTCCAGTAGAGAAGAGCTTCACCAAGCATAACAACAAGCGACACCTTCACAGGCACGAAGGGCCTAGAAAGCCACCGCCTAGGGTACGGTCGGCGAGGAACCGGGCACACACCAATCATCGTCACACTCACCACCGACTCAAGTCTAATGACGCCTACCGAGTCTCCATAAGGGATAGCGACGGAGCTTGGCGCACAGTCTACAACAGACGGCGCCCTTCTCCCCACTTCAACCACCAAACCTCGAAACATTCAACTATCATCGCTGAAAACAATCGGTCGTTGGCCCATAACAATCGCTACATCTCGCTTACAGATATGGCCGATGAACCCCTCAACACAGCGATTGAGCCCTACCCTACCCCCCACTTCGGTCATCCTCAAAGAAATAGAGGAAAAGGAAACCGTTTAAACCGATTTCCTAGAGCTCGCCTGAGGACGACGGAAATCAACTTCGAAACACATCAAGAAATCATCTCCCCTACGAATTCGAAGGTAATCAGATCCGGGAGTCATGGCTCGATGGTCCGACCGGAATTCTTGAATGGGAAAATGGTGGACACGGCTATCCCTGGGGCCGATAAACGGGTATCTTCGGTAGGGACCCAACCAGTACAGCTGCAAGAGGAAAATAATGCTACAGTCTTCACATGGGCAGACCTCCTCAAGGTAGACACAGACAAAATACCCTCCTCCAGTCTGACCCATATCCAAAAGGACATGGCAGACTCTTCCTTGGTCAACAAAAACCATTTACTCACCGGAAGCATTCAGACCGTGACGGCAATTACCCCATATGAGGATTCAGCAAATGAGGATTCAGAAAAGTTCATTTTCTTTGGCGAAGAAGGTTTTGACTCAATCCAAATTGAATCAAAACAATTCAAATTTGCAGTAAAAAACAACGTTGTCACCATTTTCGAAATTCGAAACTCCTTGCTTAAAAAAATCGCTTTAAATTTCGATACAGCTACCCAAATCATCCAGTATCTCTCTTATGCTGACTTTAAACTTAGGCATCAAAGCAGATTCGGGCCTATTACAGTCTCTCCGGAATTCAGCAGAGCTGGTAATTTTGTGAAAATTACCAAGGCAAAGGGGAGCTCCATCCTAATTCCCATTGGTCAACAACAAAAAGGATTGAATGCCTTTCTAAATATTTTCTCTAATTTTGTGGGGCTTAGTGTGCAGGAGGACCCGATGATTTTAGCTCCCCGGCATATGACAGGCAATGAAGTTGGCCTTTCTATTTCTAAAGAGATCCTTAATTTAGATATTCTGGGAGCTGGTGTCACGTTTCAAGAGACTCATTCTGTGGAAAACCCTAAACAAAAACATTCACTGCTTCAAGCTTACTCAGATGCCTCTGATAGCTTTGATCCATCAGATGACTCTTTTTTCTCAGACGATTTCCTAGGGCACGCAACCGAAAGCGACCGCCGAATTCCCATCTCCACGCAGGAAGATATTCAGAATTCTGATTTCAATAGACAGATTTGCTATAAATCCCAGTTCATCACTCAGGATAACAGCCTGCCAACTGAGAACCTGAATACACAACTCAAAATTTACAGGAAAACTCAGAAGAATAAACGGCGTCATAGCATGAGAACTAGATCTCAGTCCAAGAATTTTCCTTGGGCTTAGTTTATGTTTTTTTTTTTGTTTTAATTTTTCTTTGTGTACGCTTTTTATTTTTCCTTTCTTGCATTGTATTTCCCCTTTTATTCAATAAAAGTTTTTCTTCTTAGAAAAAAAAAAAAAAAAAAAGGCCCATGTACTAACAAAAAAAGGTCAAATAAGCCCTTATTTAGGAAGTTCTGTCCGACCGTCGTCATTTGGGGTGGTTCCCAGTGGATTTTTTTGATGAAATTTTTTGAGCATCTTATTAATCAAGTCTAGTTTGCTCATACCAAATTTCAGCTAAAACTTCAATCGGGAAGGCATTCAAATGAATTCTTGAAAATAACTGCGCAGTTAGAAGCACAGTTATCTTCAAGAATTCATTTGAATGCCTTCCCGATTGAACTTTTATCTGAAATTTGGTATGAGTAAACTAGACTTAATGAATAAGATGCTCAAAAACTTTCATCAAAAAATTCCACCGGGAACCACTCCAAATGACAACGGCCGGATAAAGCCTCCTAAATAAGGGCTTATTTGACCTTTTTTGGTTAGTACATGGGCCTATTTGCACCTTTTCCCTATATCTCTCACTCAGGGAATCAAGAAAGGGGTTTTCTAACCTACTCAAGTGATGAGCCGCTAAATTCTCAGCCCCTTTCTTATCCCTAATCTCAATATCAAACTCCTGGAGTAGTAATATCCACCGAATCAATCTAGGCTTGACATCCACTTTTTGCATCAAATATTTGAGAGCAGAATGATTGGTGAATATCACTACCTTAGACAAAATCATATAAGGACGAAACTTGTCAAGAGCAAACACAATAGCAAGCAATTCTTTCTCGGTGGTAGTATAGTTTTCTTGGGCACTATCGAGAGTCTTAGAAGCATAAGAAATAGGCTGAAAATGTTTATCTCGACGCTGCCCAAGAACGGCTCCTACTGCAAACTCACTAGCATCACACATAATCTCGAAAGGCAAAGACCAGTCAGGAGCTACTACCACCGGTGCCTTGACCAGTTTCTCCTTCAAACACTCAAAAGCCTCTAAACACTCCTTTGAGAAGTCAAACGGTGTGTCCTTCTCAAGGAGCTTAGTCATGGGTCGGGCTATCTTAGAAAAGTCCTGGATGAACCTACGGTGAAAACCTGCGTGGCCTAGAAAACTCCTAATGGCACGGACCGAAGTAGGGGGAGGTAGTTTAGAAATCACATCAACCTTAGCCGGATCAACCTCAATCCCCCTACTAGAAATCTTATGCCCTAGGACCACTCCCTCACTAACCATGAAGTGGCACTTCTCCCAGTTAAGTACCAAATTCACCTCTCGACACCTAACCAGGACTTTCTTCAAATTCTCTAAGCACTCATCAAAAGTATCACCATACACATAAAAGTCATCCATAAAAACCTCCATAAACTTCCCGATGAAATCCCCAAAAATAGCAAGCATGCATCTCATAAAGGTAGTAGGGGCATTACATAATCCAAACGCCATCCTCCGATAAGCAAAGGTACCGAATGGACATGTAAAAGTGGTCTTATCCTGGTTCTCGGGGGCTATGGGGATCTGGAAGTATCCCGACATCCCGTCAAGGAAACAGTAAAACTTATGCCCTGCTAACCTTTCTAAAATCTGATCAATGAAGGGGAGTGGGAAGTGGTCTTTCCGGGTGGCGGCATTCAACCTTCGGTAATCAATGCAAACCCGCCATCCGGTGACCGTACGTGTAGCAATCAACTCATCTTTCTCATTCCTAACCACAGTCATCCCCCCCCCCCCCCTTTCTTGGGAACCACCTGGGTCGGGCTGACCCAAGGGCTGTCTGAAATTGGATAAATAATCCCTACATCTAACAGACGGATGACTTCCTCCCTGACCACCTCCTGCATATTAGGATTCAGTCTCCTTTGTGGCTGCACTACCGGTTTAGCATTATCTTCCATCAAAATTTTATGAGTGCAGAAAACAGGACTGATTCCTTTCATGTCAGAAAGTTTCCGGGCTAGAGCTTCCCTTTGTTCACAAAGTAAGTCAAGACATGCAGATTTTTGGGATGGCTCAAGCCCGGATGCAAGAATAATAGGGAGGTCAGGACTATCATCAAGAAACGCATACTCAAGGTGGGAGGGAAGAGGCTTTAGATTTAATGGAGAAGGAGTAACAATAGAAGAATCAGTCTGACAGTCTTCCTTCTCCACCTTATCTAAGTCATCTTCCTTCCCCTTCACATCACTAGCATCACTTGAGTCCTCCTCCCCATCAAGCATAAGACAATCAAAACTAGGGAGGAGCTCAAGATCCTCTGCTGACAAACTATCATCCAAAAGAAGATCAAAGAAGGCTTCATCAGAAAGCATGTTAGGAATGCAATCCTCCACCAAAGAATCAACCACATCCATGTAAAAACACTCTCCACTATCTTGACAGGGCCTCTTCATTATTTTGGACATGTCAAAGGTGGCAGACTCATCCCCAACGCGGAGGACAAGCTTACCGTCTCCAACATCAATAAGTGCTCGGGCAGTTGCCAAGAACGGTCTGCCCAAAATCAATGGTACTTCCCGATCCTGATCCATGTCCAAAATAACAAAGTCCACCGGGAAAATAAATTTGTCCACTTTAACCAACACGTCTTCAATAATCCCTTGAGGATATTTGACTGAACGATCAGCCAACTGAATGCACATACGTGTAGGTTTAAGTGGACCGAGTGCAAGCTTTTCATATAAAGCAAGAGACATTAAATTAATGCTTGCACCCAAATCAGCCAGGGCCCTATCAAAAGTAAGATCTCCTATAAAAATGGGAATACTAAAAGAACCTGGATCCTTAAGCTTCTTCGGCAGATCTGTCCGTATCACAGCTGAGCACTCCTCATTAAGCGTCACAGTAGACGCTTCTTCCAGCCTCCTCTTGTTTGTGAGCAAATCCTTCATAAACTTCGCGTACTTCGGCATCTGAGCTAGTGCATCCACGAATGGTAAGTTAATCTGCACTTGTTTCATGAGATGCAGAAACTTACCAAACTGGTCACTGTCGTTCTTCCTAGTCAATCGCGCCGGATAGGGGAGAGGTGGGGTGTAATTCTTGACCGGAACGGACTGTTTTGGTGCAGCCGCCACCTCTCTTCCCTCATCTTTCTCCGTATCTTCCTCCCGGACAGCCGGTTCGACTTGAACTACATCGGGCTTCTTTGTTATGGCAACAGGTTCCAACTCTTTTCCACTCCTCAAGGTGACTGCCTGTCACGCCCCGGACCTATCCGGACACGTCAACAACCCGCCGTACAATACGAATAGTCAACCGCAGTCCAACACATTCATATTATACAAGGCGTCTTGAATATCATTCACACATATACATCCATAAACAAACATAATAAGTAATTCATAACGCAGCGGAAAACATTGTTTAAAACAAAAGGGCCACACATGGCTATTCATGAGCACGCAGGCTCTATAGTAAAATATCCATGATCATGTTTATTAATGTTTAAAAACAGAATGGAGGAAGCACGAACCAAGTCTTCCCTCCTAGATGAATCTCTCGAGCAACGAGCACAGGAAGCAAGCTCTAGCCTCAACCTGAAAAATGGTGGTGGGACGCCCCCGAAGGGGTCAGCACTCTATGGGGCTATAAAGTGCTGGTGTGGATGGCATCTAATAGATATACAACAAGTATTTCAAACACAAGACCCTCAAATAGGGTGATAATATAATCTAGGCCGTAACCCCAAGTTACCCCTTTTCAAAAATATACTTACTTTATATATAAAGTCAAGTAGTCGGCCCGTAGGCCCAAGGTTTGTTTATCAAACATAGCCCAAAACCCCGTGACCCCTAGTCACAACAATACATAGGGTTCAATCCTAACACATATATTTGCATTCTCGAGTCCAACTCGACTACATCACCATGCATCTTATTTAACACGAGTTAACTACTCCACCGTGCATTTCTTGAGTCCAACTCAACTACATCACCATGCACAACAATCACCTCTTCATGTCTACCCAATGCAATTCTATGATCACGGGCTCAAGTACATCTCCTTACATTGGCATAGACCCCAATTCCTAAGCACTCACTATGCCTAGAATTGTAATATCAATAATCTATTTTGGGACATCCCTACGGACTGCCCAACCATGGTCTTAGCATCACATTACATCAAATTCGTCACTTGCATCACAATCAAGTACATCAATTATAATCAAATCCTTAGATTCAATTCCCTTAACAATTACAACAATCATTAACTAGTATTTCAATACTATTAAGATTATTCTTATCCATCATATATTTCAATGTAAAACCCTACATATTTAGAGATATGTAGCAGCAACTTAATCATTCAATGTAATACATAAATAACCATTTATGTATCTACACAATTCACATATGAGTAAATGCCTATTTCACACAATAGTTCATTTAACTCCATTTTTATCAATACTTTACCAAATCACTTCCCATTTCATTCTTTGGAAAATGGATCAATATTTCATCAATAATTTATCATCATAATCAATGGAAAACATGATTTAGGCATTTAGGTAATCTCATGCTTAACCTACAAGTTGTAAGCAACTAGATGTCGATCCTCACCTCAAATGAGCTTTAAAACTTTCCTTCTCGATCCAATGACAAAAGCCTCGGCCAAGGAAGATTGAGGACTGATTCCTTGCTTGGAATTGAGTGTTAAACAGCCTCTTCAAAGTGCTAGTTCAACTCCTAACCGAAGACACCAAAAACAGTCCCTAGAACGGGTGTTTCCCGACGAAATCGTCCCCTAACCTTTCAAGGTTTTGTCTAGATTAGTATCTAACTTTTCCAACAATTAAAGTCAATTTGTAATAACATTTTATACACTTCAATCAGTGTATAGTAGTTATTCAATCATTTATATGGTTTAGACAATAGAGAGGAAGGTTTTGGATTCAAACTTACTTTGAATACAAAAACGTATTCTGCGAGGTCGTGTCTTGCTCGGTCGATTTGGAAGCCTTACACTACTCCGATTGATGCAAACCAGACCTTCACGGATTCCTCGTCTTGAGAGATTTCTGTTGGTATCTCGCACGCCTTATTTGGATTGGTAAAACTCGAGATATCCACCAAACAGTCTCAGCACTCTCACAGCCCGAGTTCACAGACCACTGCTCGTTCCAGATCGATTTTTGGATGATTACTCTCTCCTCTCGAACAGAGACCACTCAATTATAAAAATAGACTTCAAAAGCTATCCAAGGACACCTCATTCACCTTATTTGGCCGAGTATAACATCACTCATGAAGGGAGACAACCAGCACC